GTGCAGGCACTGTGGAAAACAGTTTGGCAGTTCCTCAAAAAGTTAATTGAAGAATTATCATGCTAATGCTGTTGTTGTGTGCCATTGGAAGCAGATTGCCAGGTCTTTCCTCCTGTGGATCCAGTTGTGAGTTCAAACTGACCTTTCGGTGAGTGCTTAACCATTTTGCCACTAGGGCTCCCAGGAATTACCAACCTGTTCCTATTGAGTCGATTCCAACTCACAGAGACCTTATATTACCCAATAATTCCACTTCTGGTTGTACACCCAAAAGAATTGAAAGCAGGAACTCAAACAGATACAACATTATCACAATAGCCAAAAGGTGGAAACAGCTCAATGTCTAACAATAGATGAATATATAAACAAAATGTGGTATATACAAGTAATGGAATATTTTTCTACCGTAAAGAAGGGATAAAGTTCTACTTCATGTTACAACATGGATGAAACTTGAAAACATTGTGCTAAGTGAAATAAGTCAAACATACAAAAAAACAAATATAGTATGATCCCATTAATATGAAATAACTAGAATAGACAAATGCATAGAGACGGAAAGTAGATTGGTGGTTACATGGGCTTGGGGGCAGGGAAGAATAAGGGGTTATTGCTTAATGGCTACAGAATTTCTGCTTGGGGTGATGATAAGTTTTGAAAACAAATAGTGGTGCTGGTTTGTGTTGGTCATCTAGTGCTGCTCTAACACCACAGGTGGATGGCTTTAACAAAGAGAAGTTTATTCTCTCACAGTGCAGTGGGCTACAAGGCCAAATTCAGGGCATCAGCTCCAGGGGAACGCTTTCTCTGTTGGCTCTGGAGGAAGGTCCATGTCATCAATCTTCTCTTGGTCTGGGAGCTTCTCTGCACAGGAACCTCAGGTCCAAAGGACGCACTCTGCTCCCAGCACTGCTTTGTTGGTGGTATGAGGTTCCCGTGTGTCTCTGCTCGCTTTTTTCTTTTATATCTCAAAAGAGATTGCATTAAGACACTAATCTTGTCAACCTCATCATTATAACCTCATCACAGTGATAGAATTTACAACACATAAGGAGATCACATATAATCTCATCATACTGATAGAGTTTACAACACATAAGGAAATCACATCAGATAACACAATCATACAATACTGGGAATCATGACCCAGCCAAACTGACAGATATTTTTGGGGGACACCACTCAATCCATGACATGGTTGCACAACATCGTGCCACTGGGTTATACACTTGAAAATGGTTAAAATGGCAAGTTTTATAATTTGTTTATTTTACCACATTAAAAAAATCAACACAATAAGATACGAAACATCTATTGTTGTTGTCCGTTGCCACTGAGTCATCTCTAACTCATGGTGGCAAAAATGTTGCCCGATCTTGCACCGTCTTCATGATTGTAGGTATGTTTGAATCCTTTGTTGCTGCTGTTGTGTCAGTTCATCTCATTGAGGATTTCCCTCATTTTCACTGGCCCTCTACTTTACCAAACATGATGTCTTTTTTAGCGATTGGTCTTTGCTGGTGATGGATCCGAAGGAAGCTAGTTAAAGTCTCACTATCCTTGCTTCTAAGGAACATTGTGATTCCTTAAATATCCCATTAGCCATTCTAATAGGTGTGTTTTATGAAAACTCTATGGAGCATACCTATTAGAATGGCTAAAATTAAAAAACCTCATTTTATCAAGTGTTGGCAAACATGCGGCAACATGCGGAATATAAACTGGTACAACCTCTTTGGAAAACATATTGGCATTTTCTTTAAAAGTTTATACCTACCATATGACTTAGCCATTCCACTCCATGGAATTTACCCCAAGAGAACTGGAAGCATATGTCCATACTAAGACCTTTATACAAATGTTCATAGCAGCCTTAATGTAGGAACTCATAAGTAGAGGCAACCCAAATGTCTATCAACAGGTGAATGGACTAAAATATTGTGTTATGTATCTGTTTAATAGAATACTATATAGATAGATACATAGGTAGATACATAGATTGGTACATAGGAAGACAGATACATAGGTAGATAGGTAGGTAGGTAGGTAGGTAACCCCAACTCATGGTGACCTTATGTACAACAGACAGAATGAAATGTTGCCCATTTCGTTAGGATCCCTTAGGATCACCGGTGTGTTCAAGTCCATTCTAATACAACACTATTCATCAATTAAAAGCAATGAAATACCGGTATATACTACAATGTGGATGAATCTCAAAAAAATACTGCCAGACAAAAAAGAGTTCATATGGTATGATTCCATTTGTATAAAATTCTAGAAAATTCAAACTAATCTATAGTGACAGAAAGCAAATCAAAGGTTGCTTGGACAAGGGGAGGAGGAAGGGATTACAAAGGAGCATATGGAAAATTTAGGGGTGATGGATAAGTTGAATAAGTTCACTATCTTGATTGTGATGATGGTTTTACAGGTATGTACATATGTCAGCCTAGGAAACCCTATTGGGCAAGTTCTCCTCTGTCGTATGGGGTCGCTATCTGTCAGAATCCATTTGACAGCACCTAACAACAACAACATACGTCAAAACTTATCAAACTTTACACTTTAAATATGTGCTATTTATTGTATGTTAATTATACATAATAAAACTATTTAAAGAAGAGTGGGGAGAAAGAACATTAAGGAGTGAGGCAGGAAAAGTTCTTAAGTTCTCTTTTATCTTGTTTTTTTTTCTTCCCATGCTTATTTCGTTTCCTTTATAAGAATAGGGGCTATATTAAGGGAAATAAAAAGTATGCCTGACTAAATGCTGATGAGGCTGTGGTAAAACTGTGACAGCCCCCCGTTTGGAAAACAAGATGGCGGTGCATGTCAAGAACCATGTCAGTGTTCACATTCTTTGATCCACTAATTCTCCTTCCAGAAATTTGCACCAAGGAAATATTTTTAAATTCAAAGGCTTAGTGACTTATTTAAAATAGCAGAGAAAAATGTAAAATGTGAAATAGCACAGAAATGATTAGGCCATTTGTGGTATATCCACTAAAGGAATACAAATCTACAAATATGTAGTAACATAAGAAATGCTTATGATCTATTTTGTTAAAAATCTGAATATAAAATTGTTTTTACTCTGTCCGTACAATTAGTTGAAAACCGCGTACACATAAGGGAAAGGTTACAGAGAAATAAAAACAGTTTATTTGTTAGAATTTCAGGATTTAAAGTGAATTTTTATAGTTCCACTGTTGTTGTTAGATGCCAAGGAGTCGATTCCAACTCATAATGATGCCCAGTGACAGAGTAGAATGCCCCACAGTGTTTTCTTGGTTGTAATCTTAATGGGAAAAGACTGCTAGGTCTTTCTGCTGTGGAGCCACCGGTGGGTTCGAACCACGAACCTTTTGGTTAGCAGTCAAGTGTTTAACCATTGTGCTACCAGGGCTCCTTAGTACTGCTATAGTGTGGCCTGTTAGTTAAGAATAAAAGAATAAAGACAGAATAAAAGAAATCAAAGAATGGGTCTTATATGTAGTTCCCATAGCTGCATTACTGAGGTGTTTAAGCAGAATGAGACTGCCTTAGGTTATGAGATACAAAGAGTGCTGAACACATACTTTTAATTTTTTTTTTTTTTTAAAGACAAACACGCAAGAACTAAGAGAATGGTGAAGGAGAAAATAAAATTTTGGAAACTAGAAAGCAGATGAAGAAAGCTGAACCATAAGCTGGAGGTTGGGAAAGCTGAGAAGCAACCTAATTTACACTGCAAAAAAAAAAAACTCAAACGAACCCATTGCCGTTGAGTCAATTCGGACTCATAGTGACCCTACAGAGCAGAGTAGAACTGCCCATAGAGTTTCCTAGGCTGTAATCTTTACAGGGGGCCCTGGTGGTTCAGTGGTTAAAAGCTATGGCATACTACGGCTGTAACCAAAAGGTTGGCAGTTCAAATTCACCAGCCACTGCTTGGAAACCCTATGGAGCAGTTCTACTCTGCCCAATATAGGGTCTCTATGAATCAGAATCGACTCGACGGCAATGGGTTTTTTAATCTTTACAGGAGCAGATCAGTTGGTCTTTCTCCTGAGGAGCCACTGGGTGAGTGAACTGCCAACCTTTCGGTTAGCAGCTGAGTGCTTAAACACTGCGCCACTTGGGCTCCTTTATTTACATTGCAGAACCCCCAAAAGAGTCTAAACTGTCGGCACCAGCTCCCAGAACACTGGCAGTACGCAAGAAATAGAAGAGTCTTCTCTGGGCAATGTGACCAGCTGAGGAGAAAAGGCCCAAACATAAGCCACAGAGAAGATTGGGCAGCAGACCACACCTTGTGCCCAGAGCTTAGGATGAACATTTAGTGCTTCATTCTTATTTATTAGCAGACTGTCCAGAGGCACCAGTCATTTGGGAAAAGCATCCAACTAATAGGAAAACAGAAAGTGAAAGAGAAGGAATCAAAGAAATAATTCAAGAAAACTTCCCCAAATGGAAGGATATGAGTTTCTACATTGAAAAGGCCCATTAAATATCCAGGATGATGGATAAAAATAAACTCTTACCAGGGCATATAATTTTGAAAATTTAGTACAACGGTTACAAAGAAAAAAGCTTCTGTAAGGATCCCTGGTGGCACAGTGGTTGAAGTGCTTGGCTGCTAACCGAAAGGTTAGCAACCCACCAGCTGCTCCTCAGGAGAAAGATGTGGCAGTCTGCTTCCATAAAGATTTACAGCTTTGGAAACCTTATGGGGCAGTTCTCCTCTGTCCTACAAGGTCACTATGAGTCAGAATCAACCCAGCGGCAGTGGGTTTGGTTTGGTTTTTGGAAGGTTCCATGAAGAAAAAAAAGAATGGCTTTTATATAAGTAATCAGTTCTTCGGTCGCACTAGTCTCATTTCAAATGTTCAGTAGCCACACTATTGACTGCCATATTGGATGGCACAGATCTAGAATATTTCCATCATTGCAAAACATTTTACTGGACAGCATTGCTCTCAGTACTTCTGCTCCTGATTTACCAAAGACTTACCTTTTATTAAATTGTGTTTCCTGTGTATTTTCATGTTGGCCAATTTTCTTTGATTTCATTTTGTTTTGTCATAAGATGAATACATAGTTCCTTTTTAAGGTGTGCATGTATCAATATCATTGTATTTACTTTGTTTTGCAGCTGTTTTTTCAGCAATGATATGCGGGACTTTTACAAACCAAGATCTGCCTGTGATCAAGTGTGTTTTAATCAATCATAAGAACAATGATTCATCAGTGGGGCTATCATCATCATATCCCATGGTAAAGTAATATTAAAATTACAGCTTTAGATATTTTTCTCTACAGATCATAAGCTATTGAAACCTAGCATGAATAAATGGGCTTTGTACGTAGTCAAATGTGTTAAGTACTCATATCTGGTTCAGGTGCAGCATCTATACTCAGAACTACCTGGCACTCCATTCCACCAAGAACCATGTTCCTTTTTTGGGTAGGGATTCAGAAAGGACACTGGTACCTGGCATGAATATGAATCCAGGCTTCTCTCCCTAACTTGACTCCCTAATTTCCAACTGCTTCTTGGATGTATATGAACAGATTTTTCATTTGCACATTAAATCCCACTATGTAATTTATTTCTATTTCCCCAAACCTGCTCCTATTCCTGTATTAATTGGTTTCTGTTTATGGCTCTGTCTAGGTCCCAGGCCTGAAAGCTCAGCGTCATTTTGGACTACTTCCCCTCCTTTGCCTTCATATTCATTTAGTTACCAAATCTTGTCAATTCCCTTTCTTTAATATTTCTCATATATCCACCTCATCTTCTGTAGTCTCACTGTCACTTCCGTAATTCAAGTCATCGTTAACCAAAAACCAAACCGGTTGTCATCAAGTTGATCCTGACTCATAGCGACCCTATTTGACAGAGTAGAACTGCCCCATAGGGTTTCCAAGGCTGAACCATATTTTTACACAAATAAAACGCACACCTCCTATGTTTGTTTGCCATCTGTGCCCTCCCTCCAAGAGATATTTTCATAAGCATGCTATGCTAATTTTTTTATGAAAAAAAAAAAAAAAAAACACCTGTTGCCATTGAGTCAATTCCGACTCTTAGTGACCCTATAGAACGGAGTAGAACTGCCCCATAGGGTTTCCAAGGAGCAGCTGGTGGATTCAAACTGCCGACCTTTTGGTCAGCAGCTATAACTCTTAACCACTGCACCACCAGGGCTTCAGAGGCACTTATGAAAACACCTCACAGGGGGAGGGGGAGGTTGGCAAACAAACATAGTAGGCATGTGTTAGTTACATAAAATACAGTAATCTTTACAGGAGCAGATCACCAGGTCTTTCTCCCATGGAGCTGCTGGTGGATTTGAACTGCTGACCTTTCATTTAGCAGCTGAGTGCTTAACCATCACCAGGGCTCCTGAGCCTTCTTTGTTGTTGTTAGGTGCCGTCGAGTCAGTTCTGACTCATAGCGACCCTATGTACAACAAAACACTACCCGGTCCTGCGCCATCCTCACAATCCTTGCTATGTTTGAGCCCATTGTTGCAGTCACTGTGTCAGTCCATCTCATTGAGGGTCTTCCTCTTTCTCGCTGACCCGCTACTTTACCAAGCATGATGTCCTTCTGCAGGGACTGATCCCTCCTAATAACATGTTAACTCCCTCATAATCACGATTCTGTCCTAAATGACCTCTTCCCTCTACCGCTCATCTCAGACATGGCTGCCAGACTAGCTTTGATCCTTTACTGTGATGACCCATTACTTAGATGGACATCCAAATTGTTCCATAATCTGGTTCCTTCAAGTTCCCACCTTGTTTTTCATTACTCCCCCTCCTTCATGCTGTTCATCTAACATTGCCGAGGTATTCCCATCTCTGTACTTTTTTTTTTTAATATTTAGTGAATTTACTCAAATGAAGGAAGCTTAAATTATTATTGCTGTTGTTAGGTGCTCTCGAGTCGGTTCTGACTTACAGCGACTCTGTGAACAGCAAAATGAAATACTGCCCAGTCCTGCGCCATCCTCACAATCCTTGTTATGCTTGAGCCCATTGTTGCAGCCACTGTGTTAATCCATCTCGTTGAGGCTTAAATGATAGCTTAATTGCTGTTTAAAATCTGAATATTTCCATCGTTTGTAATTTCTCTTGGGGATGATAATTCTGACTACCACCTTTTTATGACTGCGTGAAGACAGCGTAAGCCAACTGTTAAATATTTTCAAATTCGCTTTGAAGTAATGACTTTACTGGAGGCAACAGGTTTGCACAGCAGCCACGTGAGATGTGTTGTTCTTCTTGTAAACTATTAGTGAGCACAGGAAGACAATCCACCCCAACTCCAAGGTTTTCTGTCATCACCAAACAGGCTCTGAGTGCACTTACACTTTCCGTCCTCCAGAAAGTTCAGCTGCATTTAATCTCAAATTCCCACGGAACAGAACTTAGGCCATTGTTTCATGGTCCTGAGAAGCCTCAGAAAAAAATGAACCCACTATATATCTATATGTCTATTTTTGCCCTTGCTTTTTTTTTTTTTTTTAGATTTATTGTGGTAAAATATATATAAGAAGAAGTTTGCCGTTTAAACCATTTTTACGTGTAGAATTCAGTTACATTAATTACATTCACCGTGTTGTGCTGCCATCACCACTGTTTCCAAACGTTTTCATCACCCCAAACAAATACTCACTACCCCTTAAGCAATAACTCTCTATTTCCCCTCCCCCAACCCCTGGTAGTCACCAATAAATTTTGGTCTCTATGCATTTGCCTATTCTAGACATTTCATATAGGTCAGATTGTACAATATTATTTAGTCCTTTTGTGTCTGCCTTATTGAACTCACTATGTTTTGTTCTAATTTTTTATTGTAAAAATATACACAACAAAATATTTGACAATTAAACAATTTCTACATGTATAATTCAGTGACATTGATTGCATTCTTCATCTTGTGCAACCATTAGCACTATCCTTTTGTGAGTTCTTCCACCACCATTAACATAAACTCAGTGCCCCCTAAGCAAAAACTTCCCTCTCCCTCTACCCCGCAACCACTAATAATCTTTGGTTTCTATATATTTGCTTATTTCATGTAAGTGGGATCATAGAGTATTTGTCCTTTTGTGATTCGCTCAGAATGAGGTTTTCAAGCTTCCTCCATGTTGTAGCGTGCATCAGGACTTCATTTTTCTTTATGGCTGAATAGTAGTCCGTAGTATGTATGTACCACATATTGTTTATTATTCATCAGTTGATGGACATTTCGATTATTTTCATCTTTTGGCTATTGTGAATAGTGCTGCACTGAACGTTGGCATAGAGATTTCTGTTTTCATTGGAACTTACCATGATTTAATGATGGGCTTTCTGTCCGTGAAGAACCGGAAATGCTAGAGTTACCCAAATGTGTTTGGCTACCATGGCAAGTCAGCTCATTGTCTTTATTTGCCATGTCACAGCCCCTGCTTCTTTCTGAGAAACTGTTTCCTTCTGGAATAAAGATTTGGAAAAGGATGGTAAACTTCCTCTCTGTGTCTGGGCTTTTCACGGCTACTCAAACTGTTCTATGGTGAAACCTGTGAGAGCCAGAACTCGACAGGACTGCCTTGGTTTTTTCCGGGTCTTGCAAGTTTTCCGCCTTTGACAGGGTGTGGTCTTACCACTTTTCTATCACTTGTTTTGATGGAAAATATTTGAGTTTGCCTTCTCTGACAGGTTTCTGCCTTACACAGGTTCCGACTTTTGCAGGTTTTGCTGTATTTATGTAAGCAGCCAACTGTTTTAGAGATTTCTGAAGCACCTTCATGTCCTTATTAATGAAATTAGAGATCCTTTTTCTAGGAAGATCGTATTTTGGAAATTTTCAGCCATTATTTCTTCAATAATTCTTTCTGGAAGATTTTTATTATTATGATAAAAGTACCATTTTTTAACATTGTGTGTTTTTAATGCCATAATCTCTTAAATATCAGTGCTTCATGGTACCATGGGCCTCAGCCCAATCCCAAGCTGACGAACTACACCCGAAAGTCTAGAACCTTCCTCCCTCCCAGCTGGCCCCACTGAGGACCATTCAACACAGCTGCACCAGGGCCCCAACCCCTGCGTACTTCCATTATGCAATTCCTCTTCTCTGATGCCCTAGTATTGTCTATCGAAATTATATCCATTTTTAAACTTTTTAAAAACCTTTTTATTTTGAAATAATTTGAGATTTACAGAAAAATTGCAAAAATGATACAAATAGTTCCTGTGTGCTCTTCATCCAGCTTCCCCTAATGTTAGCATTTTACATAACCACAGTACAGTGATTGAAATCAGGAAATTAACATTGCATAATACTATTGACTAAACTGCATGCCTAATTAGGATTTCACCAGTTTTTCCACCCATGCCCTGTTTATGTTCCAGGATTCAGCGAAACATTACATTTAGTTGTCATGTATCCTTAGTCTTCTCCCATGTATGATGGTTCCTCAATCTTCCTTTGTCTTTCATGGCCTCGATAGTACTGGACAGTTATTTTATAGACTGCCTCTCAATTTGGGAGCCCTGGTGGTGCAGGTGTAAAGAGTTCAGCTGCTAACCAAAAGATCAGCAGTTCAAATCCACCAGCTGCTGCTTGGAAACTCTATGGGACAGCTCTGCTCTGTCCTATAGAGTTGCTGCAAGTCAGAATCAACTCGATGGCCACAGGTTTTTATTTTATTTTATTTTTCTCTCACCTTCGGTTTGTCTGATATTTTCTCATAATGAGATTGAGACTATACATTTTTGGCAAGAATATCTCAGAAGAGATGCTGTGTTCTTCTCAGTACATCATATTAGGAGTTACAGGGTGTCACTGCATTTTATTACTAGTGATGTTAACTTTGATCACTAGATTAAGATACGCCTGCCAGGTTTCTTCACTTTAAAATTACTATTTTTTCCTTTGTAATTGATTACTATTTTGGGAAAATTGCAAATATCCTGTTTCTCCTTAAATTTTCATGTACTGATTTTAGCATCCACTGGTGGATCTTGCCTGATGATGATTTTCTATTTCCCTCATTTCTTCTGTGTTTATTAATTGAAATTCTTTTGTAAGGAAGAGCTATCCCTTCTGCCCCTTTTATTTATCTATTCAATTATTTGTGTAGATCAGTATAGATTTGTTATTTATTCTATGAGTTATAATCCAATACTATCATTATTTATTTTGTTGCTCAAATTGTTCAAATGTTGGCCATTGGGAGCTCCTTCAGGTTGGTTCCTGTGTCCTTTTTTTTTTCTTTCTGAATTTCTTTAAAAATTATTTATTTTATTTTTGTTGTCGTTGAGAATATACACAGCAAAAACATACACCAATTCAAGTTTCTACATGTGCAGTTCAGTGACATTGATTACATTCTTTGAGTTGTACAACCATTCTAAGTTATCTGACTTGTTCCCCCCACCCCATTAACATAAACTCACTGCCCTCTAAGGTTCCTATCTGACCTTCTGAGTTGCTATTGTCAATTTGATCCCATATAGATAGATCTTGAAAGAGCATAATGCTCAAGGCAGATATTCTTTACTAGTTAAGCTAAACTATTGTTTGGTTTAAAGAAGACTTCAGGGGATATTTTTGGTTTGAGTTTTAAAGATTATCTCAGGGCAATAGTTTCAGGGACTCCTGTGTCCTTTTGACATGTCCTATCTTTCAGGCTCACTTTATATTTTTTCTGTGGAAAAAAGTGGAATTAACCACTTCTCCAAGGATAGATAGTTTTTTTGGAGGATGGTATTTAGAAACAAAGATCTAAGCACTAGGTGTGTTCATTACTACTGGATGGTCATTGCTTCTCGGCTCTATCAGTGGACTCAGCTAGGAAATATATGTATACTAACCCCCTCATCTGTATTTATTTACCTCTATGTACCCATATCCACATCTATACCTATAAACAAACAAACAGTTGCTGTGGAATCAGTTCCAACTCATGACAACCCCGTGTGTGTCAGAGTAGAGTTGTCCTCCATAAAGTTTCCAATGGCTGATTTTTTGGGAGTAGATTGCCAGGCTTCTCTTCCAAGGTATCTCCAGGTGAACTCAAACCGCCAACCTTTTGGTTAGTAGCTGAGCGCATTAACCGTTTGCACCACCCAGAAACTTCATACCTATGCTCATACTTGTGCCTATTCCTATACGTCTCTTTCTCTCTAACAATGAATTTATACTGATAACCCTGATTTCAATACAGCACCACAGGGTTCATTCTAGATTCCTCCTTTCCGGATTTGTACTTCTTTCTCTGACATTAAGAAACCTGGCTCTCGCTATCTAGAATGTATTTACTTTTTTTATCCTGTTCTGATACACACATAGACTAGTTTCAGGATTGCTAGTCCATACCCCAGTAAGAAACAGATTTTCTATCTAAAGTGTAGTGTTTGTGTACAGTCCCTTTTGTCTTTAGCCTTAAGTATCCAAAGTACTATATTCCAAAGTTACTTAGGTTAGTTCTTTCCTTCGCACTCCCTTCACTATGGCTATGATATTTATTTGTAATACAACTAAGTTCACTTAGTCTGTATTTCATTTTAGCTTCCCTTCAAATCCTAGTTGGTTTTAATTATTTTTTTGAAGCTGGGAAACATTATGATGGTTCTGAAAGTCAAAGCTATATAAAAAGGTGTACTCAGAGAATTATCACTCTCTCCTCTCCTTACTACCAACTTTCCACCCCCTGCTCGCCTATCTCCTGTAGTTAACCAGTCTCTTTCAATTTTGGTTTATTATTCCTGTATTTCTTTTGCACAGTGGACAGATATATATTTTGTTATATCCCCTTTTTTCTTACATGAAAGGTAGTATACTTGAAGGTAGATGCTGTTTTGCATTTAGCTTCTTTCACTTAACACTGTACCCAGGAAATCACTCGAAATCAGCTCACTGAGACCATCCTCATTCTTTTTATAGCTGCATGGTATTCCGTTGTGTGGATGTACCATAGTTTATTCAACCACTTATGTATGGGCATTTAGGTTGTTTCCAAGATTTTGCAATTACAGATACTGATGCAGTTAATCACTGGAGGTACATTCCTGGGAGTAGGATTACTGGCTCAAAAGGTACTGCATGTGGGATTTTATTAGGTATTGCCAAATTCCCCTCCAGAAGGTGTATTCCAGTGTGCATTTCCCCCAGCAATGCATGAGAGTTGCTGTTTGCTTACCAACAAAATGTATTGTCATACTTTTTAATTTTTCTCAGTCTGATAGATGAGAAGTAGTATCTCAGCATAGTTTCAATTTATAGTTCTCTAATTATGAGTGAGTTTGAGCATTTTCTTATATGTTGGAGGGCCATTTGTGTGTGTGCGTGTGTGCATTTTTTATTTTTTTAAAATTGTCTGTTCATTTCTTTTCCCCATTTTTCTACTGGGTTTTTGGTCCTCTGTCTCATTTTTTAAGAGTTCGTTATATGTTGGGAATAGTAGCCCTTGATGTGTGGTATCTGGTGAGAATATTTTCTCCTAGATTGTCAGGTGTCTTTGGACTTTGTTTAGTGTCATCTTTTAAGATCCAGCTCAACTGCAGTGAAATATCTGCAGAGTCCCCGCTGGAATTCGCCTCCCACTCCTCTGACGTCCCAGAGCACTTAGTTTTTACCTTTTAAAACAATTGGTATCTTTTTCTGGGACACATATTTCACCTTGTGTTTTAGTTATTTCATCCTAACAGTTTGCCCTCGAGTTGACCCAGACTCATGACGACCCCATACGTGCTCCATAGGGTTTTCAATGGTGGGTTTTTTGGAAGTAGATCGCCAGGAGGAGTCCCTAGGTGGCACAAAACGTTACGCGCTTGACTACTAGCTGAAAGGTTTGCAGTTCGAACCCGCCTAAAGGCACCTTGGAAGATAGGCCTGTTGATGTGCTTCTGGAAAGTTCACAGCCTTGAAAACCCTTTGGAACAGTTCTACTCTGTACACATGGAGTCGCCATGAGTCAGAATTGACTTGATGGCAACTAACAACAACAACAACAGATCATTAGGCCTTTCTTCTAAGGGACCTCTGGGTATTCTTGAACCTCCAACCTTTCGATTAGCAGCTGAGTGTGTTACTCATTTTCACCAGCCAGGGACTCCCTATTTCCTCCTACTAGACTCAAAACTCTTTAAGGACAAGATCAGTGTTTTTTCTTTCTAGTCCCACAGTACCCAGCAGATAGTCTAGCACTTATCAGATATTTAAAAGGATCCTTGGTGGCACAGTGGTTAAGTGCACGGCTGCTATCAGAAGGTTGGCGATTCGAATCCAACAGTTCCCCCATGGGAGAAAGATGTGGCAATCTGTTCCCGTAAAGATTACAGCCTAGGAAACTCTATGGGGCAGTTCTACTCTGTCTTACAGGATCACTGTGAGTCTGAATCAACTCGATGGCAATGGGTTTGGTTTATTATGAATCTTAACAATTATTGTCTGTGAAACATTTTAGAAACGTGGCCGAAAGTTATGTTTTCTTTAAAGAATTATAATTAATATGATAGTCAGCCAGTGATATGTCCTCAAGGAGTCACAGCATGCTTGGGTGTTGTGTGCAGTATGTCAAAATATATGTATTTGATAATGGTTCCAGCTAAAAAGAGGATGCATTAAACGTGCAGTTATACTCAGTTGACATTATCTGCACTGTAGGTATCGAGATCAATGGAAGACCTTGGGTGCTCGCTGAGGCCCGAGAGCACAGAGCTCATCTATGAAGCAGACAAGGTAGAAGTTGATGTCTCTGCATCCATTACCCTACAGGTGATGGTCAGCATCCCTGGGAACATTTCGTGTCTCTGGATCTTTAAACACAGTTCCCTGAACTGCCAACCATACTTTGATTTACAGAACAGGTAAGAACAGGGGATGAACAACCACAAGGATTTTTGGAGGAATGTTTTCTTACCTTATTGAGGCATTGGTGGGTGAGTGGTAGAATGCTCCCCTTCCATGAGGGACACCTGGGTTTGATTCCCGGCCAACGCACCTCATGTATAGCCAGCACCCATCTGTCATTGGAGGCTTGCATGTTGCCATGATGCTGAACAGGTTTCAGAGGAGCTTCCAGACTAAGATGGACTGGGAAGAAAGGCCTGGCAATCTACTTCCAAAAATCAGCCAGTGAAAACCCTATGGATTGCAACAGTCTGGTCTGCAACCGATCATGGGGATGGTGTAGGGATTGGGCAGCATTTTGTTCCATTGTTCATGGGATCACCATGAGTAGGGGGCTAACTAGATATCAGCCAACAATAACAGCAACAATTTATTGCTGGAAAATGTGGTTCATTTGGAATTTCTTTTCAAGTTGCTGTCCATGTTCATTGTAACTCTTACCTCAAATGGCATAATGAACTAAAAACATGGTTAGGCCCTAAGAAAGCGCTGAGTGTCTGGCAAAACGTGAAACCAAAGTAGAAAAACATTCGGGATCTTTAAGGTGTCTTATTTTTTAATCAGATTCCATACGAAAGATAAAAATGTTAGAAAGTCCGCCTCAATCTAATTAAAGTAGTAAGAAACTTCTTTCTGGGAAACAGCTTAGAGAAAGAACATTTGGTTTTATCTATTTGTTTCTCAGTACGATGGACATAATTGCAAGGGTATGTGATATCTATAAACTATTTCAGTAAGAAATTGATCTGTGAGGAGCGTTGATCTCATGGTGGAGAAATACCTTAGCCAACATTTATGTCATGTCAAAGCCTAAGTCTAAATCTGTGCTAACTGCTGCCCCCTGCTGTCCCTGTCCTCTGCTGAGACCAGGTAGGTAGGTGTGGAAAGCTAGGCACCCAGGCCATTCAGATCCCCACTTGATGATTTCAAGGCGGCCTTTCTTTCTCATTTTTGGAGATTTCTGGTGCCCCACCCCGGGGAAGAAGCATGTCTTTTCCAGAACAATGCAGTAAATGGCACTCAAATGACCTATGCGTGGTAACATGCCCTTTGACTGAAGTACTGTATTGGGGAACATCTCTTTGACTGACGCATACAAAGCATTTGTACTTGTTTCTTTAAAGTCAAGCGAATTCTTAACCAATTTTCAGGATAGTGGCTATAATTTTGAAATTTCATTCTAAATCTTGGAACACATTCATTTTCCTTTCCTCTTTTGAGATCATATTACTCACTTCTGTTTTTCGGTTACTTTTATCTTGGGGCTAAACCAAATCAATCTACCATGAAGATGCTTGGCTTAAATCAGTGTCTGCTAATCTTATTAAAATTTTATATCACAACAGTTCTCACTGGATTGAGACCAAACAAAGTAGAAAAGTAGGGTTCTTTTCACTCTAAGAGAGGCTGCCTTTGTGACTCTAAAGCCGGCGGCCGAGTTTGTAGCCAGTTCCAGGTCTCACGTGAGTTAGTTAACTTAGTACCAAAATATTTTTAGCTACTTTTTTTCATAATTTATTTTTTTTGTTGAAAATATACGCAGTGAAACATATACCAACTCAACAACATTTTCTTGCCATAAATGTGGTTCATTTAGAAGTTCTACATGTACAGTTCAGTGACATTGATTACATTCTTTGAGTTGTGCAAACTTTCTCATCCTCCTTTTCCAGATTGTTCCTCCCCTGTTAACAGAAACTCACTGCCCCCTAAGCTTCCTATCTAATCTTTCTGTTGTTGTCAATTTGATCCTGAGTCCAAGTCTGAATCGACTGGATGGCAATAGATTGGGTTTTTGTTAGATAGTTCTTTAAAAGAGCATAATGCTCAAGGCAGACATTGCTGACTAATTAAGCAACTATTGTTTGATTTAAGGAACACTTTCAGGATATTTTTGATTGAGGTTTAAAGATTATCTCAGGGCAGTAGTTGGGGGATGGAGGGTTTCATCCAGCCACCACGGCTCCAGCAAGTCTCTTAGCTACATTTTTCCCGGTAGAGAATCATAGAAACTTGTATCTGGACTCAGACTCATAGCCAGAGAGACTGAACACCTAAGCTTTTGCAACTGTCATGTAATTTTGCATGATATGCACAAGAGTTCACAAATAATACAAGGAGAGAGAATGGTTCAGTGAATATCTGCAGATATGAATCAAATGTATCTCCTGCTAACTTAGTGTCTGTGTGAATGTAAGCGCTAACAACAGCCAAACCTGTTGCCGTCCAGTTGATTCCAACTCATGGCGACCCCATGTGTGTAGAGTAGAACTGCTCCATAGGGTTTTCTTGGCTGTAATCTTTATGCCTTTCTTCTGCAGCACCGATGGGTGGGTTCGAACCGCCACCCATTAGGTTAGTGCTGTTCTTAGGTGCCATCCAGTCAATTTTGACTCCTAGCGACCCTATGTAGACAGAGTAGAACTGCCCTATAGGGTTTCCTAGGCTGTCATCCTTATGAGAGCAGATTGCCAGTCTTTCTCCTGTGGAGCTGCTCGGTGGATTAGAACTGCTGACCTTTCGGTTAGCAGCCGAGCACTTAACCATTAGAGTGCAAACTGTCTGTGCCACCCAGGGACCTTTGCAAGCACCTGTACTATGCTGCTTGGTCCTCTGAAGTGCTTCATAAATTTTAATGGGCATTTTGATTGCCCGGGGATCTTGTTAAAATTCAGATTCTGACTTGGGAGGACTAAGTGGGACCTGAGAATCTGCATCTCCATCAACACTCAGGTGATGCTAATTCTGTTGGAGAAGGACCACACTTTGAGTAGTAAAGTTATGACGGTCAGAAAATTTAAAACCAAAATTACTCAATAAACCACTAGAGAATATTTTAAGCTTTAATGAGAGATTGGATATCTCCAGATACACATCGAAGTTGTTTCTGTGAAGAGACTACCCCAAGCCAAATTTTTTCACTAATTATCTGCCGAGTTGAAAATACGAACATTGAGACCTCTCCTTACATTTATGAACTGAGTCAGTGATAATTATTACTTCGTAGGTAAACATCTCATGTCAGATTTTGCTGGAATTCTTTCACTTAAACAGAGCATGCACACAGAACATTCTCCATAATGACCTGAGATCTTAGTGTATCTCACTTTGACAGCAATCTGGTTCTGCAAATGGGGAACTGGGGCTAGTGACGGGGTGACTGGGCAAGTATGATTGTGGAAGGTGCTTTATCATGAAAGGGAATGGTAAGCCCCTGTCAAGAGGAGCTCACCCCGGGACTGTACATTCTTGGATGGGAGTTTTCCCTCTGAGGAGATGGGGAACAGAAGGTGAGAGCGTTGGGATGGAACTCTCCCTTGCTCAAGGCTGGGACTGTCTAGAAGTCAAAGGTCAAACCCAAAATGCTCAGGTTGAGTGTTGAGCCTTGTAGGCAAAGCTGTGTGCTCCATAAAGCAGCCCTGAGTGCGCAGAGACTGAGCGTGGGGGGCCACGGAGCCAGCCTTCTGACTCAGTGCGAAATTCTATGTTTCTAGTTCCACAAATATTCCAAAATAACAAGTTCTCTTTCCTGTTTTACAGAGGAGTTGTTTCCATGGTCATTTTGAAAATGACAGAAACCCAGGCTGGAGAATACCTGCTTTTTATTCAGAGTGAAGCGACCAATTACACAATATTGTTTACAGTGAGTATAAGAAGTAAGTTCAGCTTGCTACTAGGTTTTCACCATATTCTGAGGAGCGGGTTAGGAGCCGTTGGTTTTTGCCAGCTGGTCTAGACACAATATGTGGGCCTCCCCCAGTACCATATGTGGTTGAATTGATTGCACTCACTCCAACCATCCTTATGACCTGTTGAGAATCTCTGATGTGGCCCGTGGACTCTCCAGATGTGAGTGCATTAAGGACCTGGACATCCTCTATTCAGGCCCCTCTTGTTTTCATTGATCAATGGCTGCCAGGGAGGAAGCGGAAAACGTTTTGGACTTAAAGTCAGAAGACCTGGATTCTAATTATTTTTCTTGAATAATATTTTATTGTGTTTTCAGTGAAAGTTTACCCAGTAAATTAGGTTCTCATTTGACCATTTCTCCACAAATTGTTCGGTGACATTAGTTACATTTTTCACAATGTGTCAGCCTTCTCTTTAATTGTGTTCTGGTTGTTCTGTTCCCAGTGCTGTAGTTTCCCTGCCCCCTTACCTCCTCGTCTTTGCTTTAGAGTAATTGTTGACCTTTTGGTCTCATATAGATGGTTATTTTAATGGAACACCATACTCACGGGTAATGTCCTTTATTTTGTGTGCCAGTCTGTTATTTTGCTAAAAGGTGACCTCAGGGTTTAGTTTCGGTTTAAGGGTTAAAGAGCATCTCAGGGTGATAGTGTCAGGGAGTCCTCTAGTCTCAACTAGCCCAGTAAGTCTGAACTTTTTAAGAATTTGAATTCTGTTCCATGTTTTTGTCCCATTCTGTCAGGGTTCATCTATTGTGGCCCTGATCAAAACAGTTGGTAGTGGTAGCCGGGCACCATCTAGTTCTTCCGGTCTCAGGGTAGTTGAGGCTGTGACTTGTGTAGGCTGTTAGCCCTGTAGACTACTTTCTTTTCTGAGACTTTGCTTCCCTGGGTTCTAATTCTTGATCTGATACTAGCAGCTTTGGCAGATTGCTTAATCTCTCTCAACCTCAGTTTTCTTATCTATAAAATGGGACAAAAAATAGATATTTTGCAGGATTTTAAGGTCTCAGTGCTGTCCAATAAAACTTTCTGAAATGTCAGTGGAATCTAGGCTTTCTGGAGCCACTGAGGCTGGATGAACCCCCAAAACTGTTGCTCTGAAATAGTCTTTAAACTTTAAACCTTAAACCAAAACTATCCCCTAAAATCTTCTTTGAACTAAAATATAGCTTATCTTAATTAGTAAAATACATCTGCTTTGAGCATTGTGTTCTTTTAAAGAATTATCTATGTGAGATCAAATTGACAAAGGTAACTTGAAAGGTTAGATGATTAGCTTAGGGCTCCGTGAGTTTAAGATAATGGTGGTGGAATAATGTGGAAAAGGATAGCAAGAATGGTGGCACATCTTGAAGAATATAACCAATGTCACTGAATTGTACACGTAGAAATTGTTGAAATGGTGTATCTTTGGTTGTGTATACTTTCATCAAAATAAAAAAAAAACCTATAAGGCAAGAATTATGTCTGTTGTATAAATAAGGAAATAAAATTCAGATGGAACCCCCCCAAAAAAAACCTTTTTGAGATGATGAAACGGTCTATGTCTGTGTTGTCAAATATACTAGCCACTAAGCCGCATGCAAGCAGCCCTGGTGGTGCAGTGATTAAGCACTTGGCTGCTAACTGAAAGGTCCACGGTAAAAGCCCACCAGCCACTCCTGGGAGAAAAATGTGGCAGTCTGCTTCTGTAAAGATTACAGCCTATGGGGCAGTTCCACTCTGTCACGGGGGATTGCTATGAGTCGGAATCGACTCGACAGCAACGGGTAATGGGTAAGCCACATGCAGCTACACATTTGAAATGTGGCTAGTATGACTGAGAAACCAAATTTTAAATTTTATTTCATTTTAATTATTTAAAACTTAAATCTAAGTAGCCACATGCAGCTAGTGGGTACTGTATTGGACAGCACAGGTCTATAAGGATGCCATTATCACTGTGGAAACTATACAGAACAATCCAAATGTTCTTACCAAGGGAAGCAGCTGTGCAATGGGCAGAATTACCAGGTGTATGCGTTTTCTGGCTCCACCCCCTCGTGGTCCCAACTGTGCCCAGGCCTAGTGTTTGCAGAGACTTAGTGCTACTGCTGAACATCCTGCTTTATCTTAAGTGATTCAACAAGTTCAGAAATGGGTGGATACATTTAGGTCCTAGTGCATTTTGGAGCTAGAGGAGTGCTCCAAAAAGTCTGGGTTTATGCAATTTTAAATTAGGCTCCCTGGCTACACACTAGTTAGTACAGTTCACCAGGTGCCCCTCCTCCTTATCAGTGACGCAAAGCTGGGTTGTAGTGTGTGTACGTCCAGCCCACAAAGGGGTCCTAGGTCAGGAATACCACAGCTACCTTTTCCTGTGGGGACCCTGAGCGGTGCAAATGGTTAACACGCTTGGGTGCTAATGGAAAGGCTGGAGGTTTGAGTCTACCCAGAGATGCCTTGGAAGAAAGTCCTGGTGATCTACTTCTGAAAAATCGGCTTTTGGAAACCTAGTGGAGCACAGTTCTACTCTGACACATATGGGGTCACCATGAGTCAAAACTGACTTGACAGCAACAGGTTACTGGTTACCCTTTCCTGTATTATCTCAGATCTTGACACTGGCCCTGTGTATAGATAGGAGAGGACATGGACTCTCTGAGAGGTACGGTCATCTGCACAGCTCAGAGCAGATTTAACCCAGGTCTACACTTTCTGCACCACACTGCACTGGCTCTTGAATGAAAACAAGTGGTCTTGCAGTCAGAGCTAGTGATAGCAGAAAGTACAAGTGGCCAGTGGGATTCCCAGAAGTGTCATCTTACTGGGTTTGGAAGGGGCTGTTAGGTTCTAAAGTCACCTGGTACGGCAAAAATCCGGTAAAGTCAAAAGTAGTCAAAATTAGTTCTGAGAAGCCCTTCAATTACCCTGAAATTGATAGGACCATAGCCCTAGAAGCTCAAAATCCAAGAATTATCCATTGCTGTTGTTTGAGTTTGGCCTTGTTCTCCATGCCAACCCACCCTCTTGCTCCCACCACTGTGGAACAGTAAGTATGAGCTCCGGTTGGAAAGGATAAAGAGATCTCTCCCTCGCTCTCACGCAGGCTCTCTCTCTCACACGCACACATTCTCTTTCTCTCTCTTTGGCCAAGTTTTTATACTTGAATTTCTGTAAGGTAAGTGGACATCTGATGTGTCTCTATCTAATATATTTAGTGTGTCTTCCTTCCATTTAAGATTTGCATGTCAAAATGTAACAATAATCACTTAAGTAAATTGTAACATATTTGTAACATTTTGTTGGGTGGTGGGGTTCAAAAAAATCAGATGCGGGAGATTTGGCAAGTCAATGTGAAAAAGAGTAAAGGGTTTAGTCAACCCCAAGTTCAGTATTTAACCAACAGTATGACATGGTTCCTAAAAGAGTAAATTTTAACCTTGTATAAATGTATAATGTATAAAAAACCTGTTGCTGTAGAATTGGTTTGACTCAGAGTGACCTTATAGGACAGAATAGAGCTGCCCCAGAGGGTTTCCAAGGCTGTAATCCTTGTTGAAGCAGTCTGCCGCATCTTTCTGTCACGGAGTGGCCGGTGGATTTGAACCGCCAACATTTCAGTTAGCGGCCGAGAGCTTAACCACTGTGTCACCAGGGCTCCGTATAATATATAGATTAAGCAAATTAATAGCAGATTATTATTTTCATTCTGCATATTTTTTCCGATGAGTAATGACAAAATAGAGCAATTAGGATAGTGAAGAACTTGGAATTCGTTAAATTAGGAACAAGTGAAGGGACTGGGACTGTTTAGCATAGAGAAGAAAATATTGTGAGGAGAGGAGAAGATTGACTGCAGTGTGATGTAGAGGAAATTCTTTGGGGATATGAGTCAGGAAACCTTAGCTAACTAGTTCAAATACCTCGGGTGGTAATGATCTCCCTCCACTTCAGTGTCTGATTTTAGGGTCTTAAGGTTAGTGGGTCAAACCCACCAGTGACTTCACAGGAGAAAAGACCTGGTGATCTGCTCCCATAAAGATTAAACCAAAAATCAAACTCATTTGTCATCAAGTCGATTCCGACTCCTAGCAACCCTATAGGACAGGGTAGAACTGCCCAATAGGGTTTCCAAGGCTGTAAATCTTTATGGAATAAGACTGCCCCATCTTTCTCCCAGGGAGTGGCTGGTGGGTTTGAACCACCATCGACCTTTCAGTTAGCAGCTAAGAACTTAACCACTGCACCACCAGGGCTCCTTTTCTGTTAAGAGTATAGCCTAGGAAGCTCTATGGGGCAGTTCTACTCTGTCGCATGGAGTCCCTGTGAGTCAGAATTGACTCCACAGCACCTAACATCAACAACAATGACAATGTGTGCAAGCAAAGTTAGGTGAGAGTTTCTTTTTAATTGCGCTAGAGGGTAGAATTGGGACCAATGGTTAAACATTACAAGAGAGAAAGTAAAAAGCACAAAATGGGAACAGATACCTGTAATACACATAATAAACAAAGGATTAGTAGTCATAATATGTGAAAAACTTCTATAAATCAGTAAGAGAGAAGAAACCCAAGAGAAAAATGAGCAAGAGACAAGAACAGGCATTTCATTTTTAGAATAGGAAATGTAAATGGTCAGTAAAGCTGTTAAAAGATTTTAACCTCATTAGTAATCAGAGAAATGCAAATTAGGATCCCAGTGAGATACCATGTTATACTCACTGGATTGGCGAAAATTTCGATGTCTTGGTGAATATACAGAGCAGTGAGAACTCTCATATGATGCCATGTAAATTAGTGTAACCACTTTGGAAAACCAATTATCATCATGTAAAGCTGAACTTGTTCATACCATATAAACTAACAGTTCCACTCCTAGGTATATTATTAGAGAGAAACTATTCTACCTGTGCCTCAGTAGACATGTATAGAATGTTCATAGCACTATTGTTAATAATACAAGAAATTGGAAATAATCCAAATGTCCACCGCAAGAAAATGGAAAAATACATCCTGATATATTCACCAGTGGAATACTGTGTAGCAGTAAAAAATGAATAAACTGGATACATGACATTATGCATTTGTCAAAACCCATAAGACTGTACAACACACTGAGTGAACCCTAGTGTAAGCCATGGCCTTTTAGTTAATAATGTTGTTGTTGTTAGTTGCCACTGAGTTGATTTTTGACTCATAGTGACCCCATGTGACAGAGTAGAACTGCCCCATAGGGTTCCCTAGGTTGTAATCTTTAAGGGAGCAGATTGCCAGGTCTTTTCTCCCATGGAGCTGCTGGGTGGGTTTCGAACCGCTCACCTTTCAGTTAGTAGCTGAGCTCTTAACCATTGTGCCACTAGGGCTCCTTTTAGTTAATAACAGTGTATCCAAGTTGGTTCCTCAAGTGAAATGAATGTACCACATGAATGGAATACAAGATGTTAACCATAGGAGAAAGAGTATGCAGTGGGTAGAGGGAGTATATGAGAACTCCCGGTACTTTCTGCACAATTTCTCTGTAAACCTAAAACTTCTCCAAAAAATACAGTCTATTTTAAAAAATAAATGAACTATTAAACCAGGTACCGTCAAGTAGTTTTTTTTAAATAATATTTTATTGTATTTTCAGTGACAGTTTACACAGCAAATTAGATTCTCATTTGATGATTTCTACACAAATTGTTCAGTGACATAAATTCCATTTTTCACAATGTGTCAGCATTCTCTTTGTGTTCTGGTTGTTCCATTTCCAGTACTCTAGTTTCCCTGCCCCCTTATTTTTTCATCTTTGCTTTAGAGTAATTGTTGACCTTTTGATCTTATAAAGATTGTTTTTTAATGGCGCACCATACTCATGGATAATATCCTTTATTTTGTGTGCCAACCTGTTATTTTGCTAGAAGGTGACCTCAGGGATGCTTTTGGTTCAAAGTTTAAAGAGTATCTCAGGGCAATAGTCTCAGGGAGTCCTCTAGTTTCAGCTGGTCCCAAAAGTCTGGACTTTTTAAGAATTGGAGTTCTGTTCCACAGTCTTCTCCCATTTTATTAGGGTCCATCTATTGTGGCTCTGATCAGAACGGTCAGTGTAACCGGCACTATCTAATTCTTTTCTTTTTTTTTTTTATTGTACTTTAGACGAAGGTTTACAGAGCAAATAGTTTCTCATTAAACAGTCAGTACACATATTATTTTATGACATTGGTTAACAACCCCACAACATGTCAACACTCTCCCTTCTTGACCTTGGAGGACCTTTTCTTTGGTGAAAATATACATAGCCAAAGTTAGACTATTTCAAAAGTTTCTACATGTACAATTCAGTGACAT